ACAGTCACCAACTAACTCAAAAATATGATCGGGATAAAGCAGCAGACTCTAAATCTGCATTGTATCAATCCTTTTGGTAGTTTTGTAATTAACAATAACAGAGCTATTAATCCCATTGTAAAACATATCAACCATATGTGTAAAAGATTCTCTAAATGTTTAAAACAAATCAACCATATGTGTAAAAGATTCTCCAAATGTGTAAAACAAATCAACCATATGTGTAAAGGACTGTCCAAATGTGTAAAACAAATCAACCATATGTGTAAAGGACTGTCCAAATGTGTAAAACAAATCAACCATATGTGTAAAGGACTGTCCAAACTGAAATAACTGAAGACATTGTTGAATAAATGTGTGTGCACCATGTCAGAATCATCCAATCAATCCCAAACTAAGAGGACATTCTGACTAATGTGGCGTCCTTTGATCAAACCACACTGAGTCTCTGCTGTATTTTCGGCATAAACAAGGATCATATTTTATAGTCTGTTGTTAAAAGAGTCCAATTTTCCATCAGCAAAGTGTCTTTATCTGCTTTAGGGACGAGAGAAAAAACACCCTGTTTCATTGTTGCACTCGTGTCTCCTTCATCTATGCACCGTTTGTACATATCATACAGGGCTCTTTAAGAGTCTCCCAAAAGGGTCAAAAGAATTCAACTGACAGACCATGAATGCTGCCTCACTCACTCGGGCTCATTACATTCGTCACAGTAAACTCAGATGGTTTCAATCTGCAAAAGGAGTTAGCCCCTCCCACCTGTTAACGGAGTCAATGGAGACAATCCAGACCTTAGTACAAATGAAATGAGTACCATGGTGTGGTAAGACCAGGAAAGACCAGGAAAGACCAGGAAAGACGATAGTATCATAAGCTACATTTATTATTATTACGAGTATTTGCCCAAAACTGAATGTCATCAAAAAATGCTGATGTCGTGACAGTTTTTCAGATGGTGTGAGATTAGTTAGAACGGAAAAAACATGAACTCACATCTGTGACGAGAGAAACCTCGATCAGCAGATAACCACACGTTAAAGATACAGCTTCAGACCAGACCTGGTTCAGACCTGGTTCAGACCTGGTTCAGTCCTGGTTCAGTCCTGGTTCAGACCATGGCCCTCAGAGTCCTGCTTCTGAGTCTCTGCTGTCGGGGTAAGTCCTGTTTCTGTTCAGTTAAAGCTCATGTCTGTAACTTCTTAAAGCTCAGGTCTGTGACTTTGTATCAGTTTCAGCTAATATAATTATTAGCATCTATCTGGTACTTCTTTATTTATTTCCGGCAGGCTGTAACTCTATAAGTGCAATGCTGCCCTCTTCTGTTCAGGTTGATATCACATTGGTGGAGAGAAGGAAGGATATAACTGCTTTGTCGATCAAACGCGAGTTCTTTCCCAAGGAAAATATAGATTTGATTGAAAATACCGTTAACCCAAGATCTGACAGCTGCTTGTACAGAATCTGTCTTTCTGTTGAGTATAAATCAATCTAACAATCTTTACCTGATTTGCTCGGCAAGATATCCACACAGGCCGAATATTTTGCACCAGAGGCTGAGAATTAAAATAATGCCTCCCCTTTTATCTTTCTCCCACACTTTTTGCCACTGATTTTGCACAAAACTTTTTATGATACTTAGACACACAACATTTTCCCAAACAGATTTTATACCTATTTCCTCGCACAGAAGAGACTGCTTAGCCAGGGTATCAGCTATCTTTTATTTTCATTATTAATCACATAAACTCCAAATCCAGCCCTTCCCGAGCCCGGATCCTTTGACCCGTCTGTAAAAAAAAATGATACAACTGATCCTTTTTAAGATCCACAAAATCATTTATTTGGGCACTAGCTCGACTCTTGTCCACCCCCACCAGATCCAGCCAGACTTCAGGCTCTGGTAAAAGCCAGAATGGAGCAGGGGACCACGCTAGTCCAATATTAACCTTATCATTGTCCTATAAATCATATGCAGCGTTGACCTGTCTGCTCCCCAATCACTGCCCGCCAAACTGCGCAGAACATTAATTACTTTTCCACATTCAAACAAATCAACTCTGACAGCTCCGGTCTCAGCTGCTCAGCACGTCAATCAGCCGTCGCTCCCACCCACTGATGGACAAGCTGCTCTCTTTCTGGTACTGATACTTATATTAGCTGATACTGGGTCCAATGGTCTTCTCTCTGTGACACATGGTCTTCTCTCTGTGTCACATGGTCTTCTCTCTCTGTGTCACATGGTCCTATCTCTGAGTCACATGGTCTTCCCTCTCTGTGTCACATGGTCTTCTCTCTGTGTCACATGGTCTTCTCTCTGTGTCACATGGTCTTCTCACTGTGTCACATGGTCTTCTCACTGTTTCACATGGTCCTCTCTCTGTGTCACATGGTCCTATCTCTGTGTCACATGGTCCTATGTGTCACATGGTCTTCTCTCTCTGTGTCACATGGTCCTCTATCTGTGTCACATGGTCCTCTCTCTGTGTCACATTGTCTTCTCTCTCTGTGTCACATGGTCCTCTCTCTCTATGACATATGGTCCTCTTTCTGTGTCACATGGTCCTCTCTCTGTGTCACATGGTCCTCTCTCTGGGTCACATGGTCCTCTCTCTGTGTCACATGGTCTTCTCTGTGTGTCACATGGTATTTTCTCTGTGTCACATGTTCCTCTCTCTGTGTCACATGGTCCTCTCTCTGTGTCACATGGTCTTCTAACTGTGTCACATGGTCTTCTCACTGTGTCACATGGTCTTCTAACTGTGTCACATGGTCTTCTCTCTGTGTCACATGGTCTTCTCACTGTGTCACATGGTCCTCTATCTGTGTCACATGGTCCTATATCTGTGTCACATGGTCCTCTCTGTGTCACATGGTCCTCTCTCTGTGTGACATGGTCTTCTCTCTGTGTCACATGGTCTTCTCTCTCTGTGTCACATGGTCCTATCTCTGTGTCACATGGTCTTCTCTCTGTGTCACATGGTCTTCTCTCTGTGACACATGGTCTTCTCTCTGTGACACATGGTGTGTGAACATAACTCTCCCCAGACCCTGTAGTTCCACCGTGCTCCACCAGGGGCTCCACCAAGGGCTCCACCAGAGGTGTTTGTCTGGTGCAATTTAAGGCGAGATGTTGATGGTTCCATGTTGATGGTTCCATGTTTACGGTTCCATGTTGATGGTTCCACGTTGACGGTTCCATGTTGATGGTTCCATGTTGACGGCTCCATGTTTATGGTTCCATGTTGATGGTTCGGTGTTGACGGTTCAGTGTTGACGGCTCCATGTCTATGGTTCCATGTTGATGGTTCCACGTTGACGGCTCCTTGTTTATGGTTCCATGTTGATGGTTCCATGTTGATGGTTCCATGTTGACAGCTCCATGTTGACGGTTCCATGTTGATGGTTCCATGTTTATGGTTCCAGGTTGATGGTTCCAGGTTGATGGTTCCATGTTGACGCTACCATGTTGATGGTTCCATGTTGATGGTTCCATGTTTATGGTTCCAGGTTGACGCTACCATGTTGATGGTTCCATGTTTATGGTTCCAGGTTGACGCTACCATGTTGATGGTTCCATGTTTATGGTTCCATGTTGATGGTTCCATGTTGATGGTTCCATGTTTATGGTTCCATGTTGATGGTTCCATGTTGATGGTTCCATGTTGATGGTTCCATGTTTATGGTTCCATGTTGATGGTTCCATGTTGATGGCTCCATGTTGATGGTTCAAGTGTTCCTGTTTACAACACTACGCAGCAGGGTTGCCAGGTTGGGTGGTTTCCCACATACTTTTGTTCCCAGAAACTTGTGGGTAATAAATAAACAGAAAGACAATAAACAGAATCATGATAGTCTAAGTTTATTACTTTACGTTTTTAGCCAAAAAATCATTCTGGGTGTTTTTTTTTGTTTTTTTGGGGCATTCTCACGAGTTTTGGGCAGGAAAATCTTTTCGGAATCTGGCAACCCTGCAACGCAGTGAGGAGTCGTGCCGAATCGTGTGCTTCGATGTGAGTGGTCATTCAAGATAAGAGATAAATTGGTTTATCCAATCACATACAAGGATTTTTGTACAAGGCCCCGCCTCCTGAAATTCATCTGCTATGAAGCAGACCCAGACCCTGTGGACTACAAGACCCAGACCCTGTGGACTACAAGACCCAGACCCTGTGGACTACAAGACCCAGACCCTGTGAACTACAAGACCCAGACCCTGTGAACTACAAGACCCAGACCCTGTGAACTACAAGACCCAGACCCTGTGAACTACAAGACCCAGACCCTGTGAACTACAAGACCCAGACCCTGTGGACTACAAGACCCAGACCCTGTGAACTACAAGACCCAGACCCTGTGGACTACAAGACCCAGACCCTGTGAACTACAAGACCCAGACCCTGTGAACTACAAGACCCAGACCCTGTGAACTACAAGACCCAGACCCTGTGGACTACAAGACCCAGACCCTGTGAACTACAAGAGTCTGGACTGAGTCTGGCTTTGAGCGAATGATTAGATCGATATGAAACAAGAAACACTTTTTGACACGTGTGACTTATCTTTGTGTAGGATTCCTGGGAGACAGCAACACAACAGGTAACACACACTCAAAGACAGACACACACACAAAGACAGACACACACAGTAGAGTATGAGTTCTGACTGACAAAGGGCAAAGCCTCACCATGTGGATGTCACTGGGTTCTGCTGGTCCCTGAGCTCGGTGTTGTTGTGGTCCTGTGTAATAACCCATGTCCCTGTGAGCAGGGCCTCTCGGTCTGAGGCTGGAGGGAGGAGCCGGCCGCTGTCAGGGGGAGGTGCAGCTGCAGGGACCAGGTCTGGACTGGACTACAGTGGATCCAGAAGATGTTATTCTGGAGTTTGGATCCAGAATCTGCTCTGCTCTGGACTGTGGCTCCGCTCTGTCTGTGAGGGAAAGACCAAACTCTAAACAAAAATCTGTGATAGTCAAATATAAGTGTGAGGAGACTGAACTGATGGACTGCTTTGAGGATCTATCATTTCAATCATCACAGAGTCTGGAACTCAAGTGCTCAGGTGAGAAACCTCAGCCTCATTAGGACTCAGCCTGGTCCTTCACCAGTCTCTGGGTTTTGGATCCAGGTGTTTTGTTGTATCCAGATGTTTGTGATGAAGTCCTCTGTGTCTCAGAGTCTGTGCGGCTGGTTGGAGGCTCTGGTCTCTGCTCTGGATCACTGCAGATCTGGAACCAGTCCTGGACCTCGGTCTGTGAAGGGGCCTTGGACCTGAGGGGAGCAGAGGTGCTGTGCAGGGAGCTGGACTGTGGCGCTCCTTCTATCCTCCAGGGGGCGCTCTCTCCTTCTGTCCTCCAGGGGGCGCCCTCTCCTTCTTTCCTCCGGGGGGCACTCTCTCCTCTGGGGCCAACGTTCCACTGTGAGGGCCATGAGTCTGCTCTGATGGACTGTCCCCGCTCCAGACCCAAGACCTGCTCCTCTGGACCCAGTGTGCACATCACCTGCTCAGGTGAGGGGGCGGTGCTCAGGTGAGGGGGCGGTGCTCAGGTGAGGGGGCGGGGTTCAGGTGAGAGGGCGGGGCTCAGGTGAGAGGGCGGGGCTCAGGTGAGGGGGCGGGGCTCAGGTTAGAGGGTGGGGCTCAGATCGTCCTCTCTCTGTGTCACATGGTCTTCATGGGCGGCACGGTGGCTGAGTGGATAGCACTCTCGCCTCTCAGCAAGAAGGTCCTGGGTTCGAATCCCGGTTGGACCAGGGCCTTTCTGAGTGGAGTTTGCATGTTCTCCCTGTGTCTGCGTAGGTTTCCTCCGGGTACTCCGGTTTCCCCTACCACTAAAAATATGTACAATAGGTCTGGCATGTGCCTCCTGTACTGGAGCACCCACTCCCAAAAATCACAACTGTAAACCGCTTTGAGACTCTGATGTGCAGTGAAAAGGCGGTATATAAATAAAGATTACTTACTTACTTCTCTCTGTGTCACATGGTCCTCTCGCTGTGTCACATGGTCTTCTCTCTGTGTGTCACATGGTCTTCTCTCTGTGTCACATGGTCTCTACTCTCTGTGTCACATGGTCCTCTCTCTGTGTCACATGGTTTCTCTGTGTCACATGGTCCTCTCTCTGTGTCACATGGTCTCTCTCTGTGTCACGTGGTCTTCTCTTGGTGTCACATGGTCTTCTCTCTGTGTCACATGGTCTTCTCTCTGTGACACATGGTGTGTGAACGTAACTTCAAACATTGAGACATATTTTAGCCTGACTCTCCCCAGACCCTGTAGTTCCACCGTGCTCCACCAGGGGCTCCCCTGTGATCTACAAGACCCAGACCCTGTGAACTACAAGAGTCTGGACTGAGTCTGGCTTTGAGCGAATGATTAGATCGATATGAAACAAGAAACACTTTTTGACACGTGTGACTTATCTTTGTGTAGGATTCCTGGGAGACGGCAACACAACAGGTAACACACACTCAAAGACAGACACACACACAAAGACAGACACAGACAGACACACACACATACAAAGACAGAGACACACACACACAAAGACAGACACACATACACACACACACACACACACACACAAAGACAGACACAGACACACACAAAGACAGACACACACACACAGAGACAAACACACACACAAAGACACAGACACGCACACACAAAGACAGACACACATACACACGCACACACACACACACACACACAAAGACAGACACACACACATACACACACGCACACACAAAGACAGACACACACAGTAGAGTATGAGTTCTGACTGACAAAGGGCAAAGCCTCACCATGTGGATGTCACTGGGTTCTGCTGGTCCCTGAGCTCGGTGTTGTTGTGGTCCTGTGTAATAACCCATGTCCCTGTGAGCAGGGCCTCTCGGTCTGAGGCTGGAGGGAGGAGCCGGCCGCTGTCAGGGGGAGGTGCAGCTGCAGGGACCAGGTCTGGACTGGACTACAGTGGATCCAGAAGATGTTATTCTGGAGTTTGGATCCAGAATCTGCTCTGCTCTGGACTGTGGTTCCGCTCTGTCTGTGAGGGAAAGACCAAACTCTAAACAAAAATCTGTGATAGTCAAATATAATTGTGAGGAGACTGAACTGATGGACTGCTTTAAGGATCCATCATTTCCATCACAGAGTCTGGAACTCAAGTGCTCAGGTGAGAAACCTCAGCCTCATTAGGACTCAGCCTGGTCCTTCACCAGTCTCTGGTTTTTGGATCCAGGTGTTTTGTTGTATCCAGATGTTTGTGATGAAGTCCTCTCTGTCTCAGAGTCTGTGCGGCTGGTTGGAGGCTCTGGTCTCTGCTCTGGATCACTGCAGATCTGGGACCAGTCCTGGACCTCGGTCTGTGAAGGGGCCTTGGACCTGAGGGGAGCAGAGGTGCTGTGCAGGGAGCTGGACTGTGGCGCTCCTTCTGTCCTCCAGGGGGCGCTCTCTCCTTCTGTCCTCCAGGGGGCACTCTCTCCTCTGGGGCCAACGTTCCACTGTGAGGGCCATGAGTCTGCTCTGATGGACTGTCCCCGCTCCAGACCCAAGACCTGCTCCTCTGGACCCAGTGTGAACATCACCTGCTCAGGTGAGGGGGCGGGGCTCAGGTGAGAGGGGCGGGCTCAGGTGAGGGGGCGGTGCTCAGGTGAGAGGGGCGGGGCTCAGGTGAGGGGGCGGTGCTCAGGTGAGAGGGGCGGGCTCAGGTGAGGTGGTGGGGCTCAGGTGAGGGGGCGGTGCTCAGGTGAGAGGGGCGGGGCTCAGGTGAGGGGGCGGTGCTCAGGTGAGAGGGGCGGGCTCAGGTGAGGTGGTGGGGCTCAGGTGAGGTGGTGGGGCTCAGGTGGAGAGGGGCGGGCTCAGGTGAGGTGGTGGGGCTCAGGTGAGGTGGTGGGGCTCAGGTGAGAGGGGCGGGGCTCAGGTGAGGTGGTGGGGCTCAGGTGAGAGGGGCGGGGCTCAGGTGAGGTGGTGGGGCTCAGGTGAGAGGGGCGGGGCTCAGGTGAGAGGGGCGGGCTCAGGTGAGGTGGTGGGGCTCAGGTGAGAGGGGCGGGGCTCAGGTGAGGTGGTGGGGCTCAGGTGAGAGGGGCGGGGCTCAGGTGAGGTGGTGGGGCTCAGGTGAGAGGGTGGGGCATGGAAGTCCTAATAGAGAGATTGTTATGACCAATAACATTTTGATAAAACGTAGTTGACAAACCTAACAAGTTCAGACCCATATTCAGTGTATGTCTGTGGTCAGAGCCGGTGAGGCTGATGAGAGGGGCCCGTCGCTGTGCTGGGACCGTGGAGGTCAGAAAGAGCGGAGAATGGAGACCAGTGTCTAAACCCTGGGTCCACTGGACCCTGGGTCACACTGAGGCCGTCTGCAGAGACCTGGACTGTGGATCTCTTGTTTCTGTAGAAGAGCATTATTCACAGACTAGTACCTGGGAGATCTCCGTGGGCTGCGTGAAGAGGAGGAAGTCTGCAGTGAGAGAGTGTCTTGATGCCTCAGATTACTCTGATGGCCCGGTTCTGGGGGTGGTGTGTTCAGGTAAGACACATGTTCTTCATGTTTATTTCATTTTTGTTTTGGGTTGAGAGCTCGGTGCTTGCAGGGCTGTGATTGGCCCAGTCTCACTGCTGCTTCTAGACTAGGGGTGCAACGGTTTGAAAAAAATCACGGTTCGGATCGTACCTCGGTTCAGAGGCCACGGTTCGGTTCATTTTTCAAATTAGCAAAAAAATAAAAAAGTGTTGTCTTTTTAATAAACACGGCTCATGTGGACTCAGCTCCTGCAGGAGGATCAGTGAGGGGCTGATGCTCTGTGTACTGGGACAGCTCTGACTGACACCCCCCTGACCCAGGAATGGATTAAGGGGAAGGCGATGGATGGATGGATGGAAGGCATATTCCATCCATCCAATTATGTCTTTTTAACATAATTAATGAAAAACAACACAAAGTGCAACATAAGAAGGCACTTTATGAGGGTATTTACCCTCACACATTAAACCACCTGATTCTCCCGAGGAGGCGCTCCATCCTGGGCCCAGTCCAGCCTCAATCACTGCATTTATTTAATTTTTGGCATTATCAGTTGTGACCAGAATATTAGTACTGGGCCTTTGTCTTCCATTCCTCCACTGCTGTGTCAGTACCTGTGCTGTGTCAGTACCTGTGCTGTGTGTCAGTACCTGTGCTGTGTGTGTCAGTACCTGTGCTGTGTCAGTACCTGTGCTGTGTCAGTACCTGTGCTGTGTGTCAGTACCTGTGCTGTGTGTCAGTACCTGTGCTGTGTGTCAGTACCTGTGCTGTGTGTCAGTACCTGTGCTGTGTCAGTACCTGTGCTGTGTGTCAGTACCTGTGCTGTGTGTCAGTACCTGTGCTGTGTGTCAGTACCTGTGCTGTGTGTCAGTACCTGAGCTGTGTCAGTACCTGTGCTGTGTCAGTCCCTGTGCTGTGTCAGTACCTGTGCTGTGTGTGTCAGTACCTGTGCTGTGTGTCAGTACCTGAGCTGTGTCAGTACCTGTGCTGTGTGTGTCAGTACCTGTGCTGTGTCAGTACCTGTGCTGTGTCAGTCCCTGTGCTGTGTCAGTACCTGTGCTGTGTCAGTACCTGTGCTGTGTGTGTCAGTACCTGAGCTGTGTGTCAGTACCTGTGCTGTGTGTCAGTACCTGAGCTGTGTGTCAGTACCTGTGCTGTGTGTCTGTACCTGTGCTGTGTCAGTACCTGAGTTGTGTGTCAGTACCTGTGCTGTGTGTCAGTACCTGTGCTGTGTGTCAGTACCTGTGCTGTGTGCCTGTACCTGTGCTGTGTGTCAGTACCTGTGCTGTGTCAGTACCTGAGTTGTGTGTCAGTACCTGAGTTGTGTGTCAGTACCTGAGTTGTGTGTCAGTACCTGTGCTGTGTGTCAGTACCTGAGCTGTGTGTCAGTACCTGTGCTGTGTGTGTCAGTACCTGTGCTGTGTGCCTGTACCTGTGCTGTGTGTCAGTACCTGTGCTGTGTCAGTACCTGAGTTGTGTGTCAGTACCTGTGCTGTGTGTCAGTACCTGTGCTGTGTGACAGTCGTAGACGGGGCGTGTCTGCAGCACCGGACTCTTCATCTCCCAGTCTGCGGTGATGAAGTGAGCAGTTATCGTAACATAGCTCTCTGTTCTGCTCATGGATCCTCTTCCTGGTCCTCACTGCTCCTCCTGGTCCTCACTGCTCCTCCTGGTCCTCACTGCTCCTCCTGGTCCTCCTGCTCCCCCTGGTCCTCACTGCTCCTCCTGGTCCTCCTGCTCCCCCTCCTCTTCCTGGTCCTCACTGCTCCTCCTGGTCCTCACTGCTCCTCCTGGTCCTCACTGCTCCTCCTGGTCCTCCTGCTCCCCCTCCTCTTCCTGGTCCTCACTGCTCCTCCTGGTTCTCGCTGCTCCTCCTGGAGGTGCTGAGTCCACAGGAGGCTGCTCTGTTGTTGATGACACTGTCTTGATCTTCCAGTGGGCGCTTCAGGCAAAGTGGGGTTAAGTGTCTTGCCCAAAGACAGCAGACACCAGTGAGAGTCTGTTCTTACAGATATATTCACAGTTTCATCCATTCTCAAACATGAGAGGATACAGAGCAGTACAGGACACAGAGCACTACAGGACACAGAGCAGTACAGGACACAGAGCAGTACAGGATACAGAGCAGTACAGGATACAGAGCAGTACAGGACACAGAGCAGTACAGGACACAGAGCAGTACAGGATACAGAGCAGTACAGGATACAGAGCAGTACAGGATACAGAGCACTACAGGACACAGAGCACTACAGGACACAGAGCACTACAGGACACAGAGCAGTACAGGACACAGAGCAGTACAGGATACAGAGCAGTACAGGATACAGAGCAGTACAGGACACAGAGCAGTACAGGATACAGAGCAGTACAGGATACAGAGCAGTACAGGATACAGAGCAGTACAGGACACAGAGCAGTACAGGACACAGAGCAGTACAGGATACAGAGCAGTACAGGATACAGAGCAGTACAGGACACAGAGCACTACAGGACACAGAGCAGTACAGGATACAGAGCAGTACAGGATACAGAGCAGTACAGGATACAGAGCAGTACAGGATACAGAGCAGTACAGGACACAGAGCAGTACAGGATACAGAGCAGTACAGGACACAGAGCAGTACAGGACACAGAGCAGTACAGGACACAGAGCACTACAGGACACAGAGCAGTACAGGATACAGAGCACTACAGGACACAGAGCAGTACAGGACACAGAGCAGTACAGGACACAGAGCAGTACAGGACACAGAGCAGTACAGGATACAGAGCAGTACAGGATACAGAGCAGTACAGGACACAGAGCACTACAGGACACAGAGCAGTACAGGATACAGAGCAGTACAGGACACAGAGCAGTACAGGATACAGAGCAGTACAGGATACAGAGCAGTACAGGATACAGAGCAGTACAGGACACAGAGCAGTACAGGACACAGAGCAGTACAGGATACAGAGCACTACAGGACACAGAGCAGTACAGGATACAGAGCAGTACAGGACACAGAGCAGTACAGGACACAGAGCAGTACAGGATACAGAGCACTACAGGACACAGAGCAGTACAGGATACAGAGCAGTACAGGATACAGAGCAGTACAGGACACAGAGCACTACAGGACACAGAGCAGTACAGGATACAGAGCAGTACAGGACACAGAGCAGTACAGGATACAGAGCAGTACAGGATACAGAGCAGTACAGGATACAGAGCAGTACAGGACACAGAGCAGTACAGGACACAGAGCAGTACAGGACACAGAGCAGTACAGGATACAGAGCAGTACAGGACACAGAGCAGTACAGGACACAGAGCAGTACAGGATACAGAGCAGTACAGGATACAGAGCAGTACAGGACACAGAGCACTACAGGACACAGAGCAGTACAGGATACAGAGCAGTACAGGATACAGAGCAGTACAGGATACAGAGCAGTACAGGATACAGAGCAGTACAGGACACAGAGCAGTACAGGATACAGAGCAGTACAGGACACAGAGCAGTACAGGACACAGAGCAGTACAGGACACAGAGCACTACAGGACACAGAGCAGTACAGGATACAGAGCACTACAGGACACAGAGCAGTACAGGACACAGAGCAGTACAGGACACAGAGCCGTACAGGACACAGAGCAGTACAGGATACAGAGCAGTACAGGATACAGAGCAGTACAGGACACAGAGCACTACAGGACACAGAGCAGTACAGGATACAGAGCAGTACAGGACACAGAGCAGTACAGGATACAGAGCAGTACAGGATACAGAGCAGTACAGGATACAGAGCAGTACAGGACACAGAGCAGTACAGGACACAGAGCAGTACAGGATACAGAGCACTACAGGACACAGAGCAGTACAGGATACAGAGCAGTACAGGACACAGAGCAGTACAGGACACAGAGCAGTACAGGATACAGAGCACTACAGGACACAGAGCAGTACAGGATACAGAGCAGTACAGGATACAGAGCAGTACAGGATACAGAGCACTACAGGATACAGAGCAGTACAGGATACAGAGCAGTAGTGACTCATGTATAAACTCCACTTTCTTTAAAAAAATATGCATTTGTGGATTAGTGAGTTTCTCTGAAACATAACGTTTAAAGCATCTGTCCCGTTTTCCAGACTCGGAGGGACAGGGAGGAGTCACAGGTTTTTTAGCAGCAGTTATTAAAAACTTAAAAAGGTATTTAGCTGTAGAGTTAGCATTGGCTATAGAGTTAGCATTGGCTGTAGAGTTAGCATTGGATATAGAGTTAGCATTGGCTATAGAGTTAGCATTGGCTGTAGAGTTAGCATTGGCTATAGAGTTAGCATTGGCTGTAGAGTTAGCATTGGCTATAGAGTTAGCATTGGCTATAGAGTTAGCATTGGCTGTAGATAGGGCCGGACTGGGACAAAAAAACGGCCCGGGCATTTTTTCCTTCTTAGCGGCCCAGGCAACTCAAAAGGTTCAAGGAGCCATATTTGACAAAAAAACTAAAAATCCGTCTGGAGCCGCAAAAAAAAAAAAAAACAGCGTTGTATAAGGCTTATATGAAGGTAACAGGGGCTGAAGCTGTATTAGCTACATTAGCTACATTAGCTATATTAGCTCAATTAGCTATATTAGCTACCTTAGCTACATTAGCTACATTAGCCTAATATCATAATGACAAAGTAAAGGCTACAAACACATAAAAACCATTCATGATTATCAGATGTGTATTTTCATTGCAGCGTGTCCTGAGAGAATGACGCACCACGTGACACTCTGCTTTAACTTTAACATTCATGCAATTTTACAAATACAGTAAATAAATCTGCTTTAAATAAATCTGCTCACTAATTTCTGTCTTAACGTGTTGAAAGGTTTGAATTACAAAGGGATTTTGTGTTGCCCAAAGATTCTTTGTAGTTTCTCTGTAACTTGATGTGACATCGCTTTTTACGTCGGCCCCTATTACAGAGGCGGTGGAGGCTGTAAGAGAAAGCCTACAGAAAGACGCCACACTAGGGGAGAGAACGAAACTAACAGCTGACCACATCTGTGAAATACTGGAAATGTGTCTTAACACCACGTATTTCCAATTTAGAGGCACCTTCTTTAGACAGATTCATGGCTGTGCGATGGGCTCCCCAGTCTCTCCTATAGTGGCCAATCTGTATATGGAGAAACTGGAGGAACAAGCCCTTGTCTCTTACCAAGGGACAGCGCCAAGCCATTGGTCTGGACCATAGACTGTATATATATTAATGGACAGAGTCACGCCTATCTCCGCCGTTCTAACTAATGGGCCAAAAAATGTGCTCTACTGGAGCTATTCAAAATGGCCGTGAGTGGTCCCGCCCACAAGAAAATTGTGAAAAAACGCCTCTGCGCATGCGTCAGCCGGAGCAGCTCCATTCATTTGAACAAGAGACTTCAGAAATTCATAGCGAGTAAACTAGAGTGGACCAAAAAAATCCACCCCCCTCAGCATTGACACACATGTGGACCGGAGCTTTGGGCCAAGAGACAACTTTTGGTCCATCCTGTAAAGACGTTTTTGAGAGGTCTGCTAACGCTATATGTTAGCATTGGCTAATTCTTATTCTGGGTCTACCCCCATCGGCCCGGGGTGGTATTGCAGCATGTCAGCGCACGTCATTTTGGCCACTTTTGAGCCGGGACCCGCCCCCACTTTCGATATGTAGACGGTACATGGGTTAAGTTAAAGAAACAGGAAGTGGAACCATTTTCAGAACACATTAAAAATTAATAAAAACCCTTTTATAAATTTCACTCGTGAGAATGCTAAGGAGACTGAGGTCTTCAGAAAGTCCACTCACACTGACCAGTACCTGGCCTTTGACTCAAATCATCCGCTACAACACAAACTCGGGGTCATTAGAACGCTTCAACACCGAGCCCACCAGGTCCCCACAAGCTCGGAGGGAAAGAACAGAGAAACCAAACATGTTCAGAGAGCACGTTCCAGATGTGGCTACCCCAAGTGGTTTTTTTTTTTAATAAAGCCCAAAGGACGAGAAAGGCCAGAGACACAGTCCAACAGACAGAAGAAAGTAGAAGAAGAAGGGTGTCCTTACCGTATGTGGCGGGAGTTTCAGAGAAACTGCAAAGAATCTTTTGGGCAACACAAAATCCCTGTGTATTTCAAACCTTTCAACACGTTAAGACAGAAATTAGTGCATCCCAAAGACAAAACACCCAGACACAAACAGAGCAATGTGGTGTATTCAATTAAATGTAGTGAAGAGGAGTGCACTGACCACTATATTGGAGAAACCAAACAAACTCTACAGAAACGACTTTACCAACATTGTAGAGAAAACTCTAGTGGGCCACAGTCGGCTGTTCATCTCCACCTCAAGGCCTCCAACCACACGGTGGATGACACAGAGGTTAAAATTCTGGCTCGGGAGAAGAATTGGTTTGAGAGAGGGGTGAAAGAAGCCATTTTTGTGAAAAATAAACCTTCTCTTAACAGAGGAGGAGGGTTAAGATTTGTTTTGCCTCGCATCTATGACGACATCCTAAAAACAACGCCCTAACTTGGGACAAGGTCAGTGACATGCTAATGAGTTAGGGTCGTTAGCCTCAGCAGGGTCGTTAGACCTGCTTCCTTCTACATCAGACCTTAGATTGTTTATGAGTTAGTATCAGGATTAGGGTGTGGCTAACCACACCCATAGGTTATAAATCTCCAATGCGCGGTCTGAGAATTCATTCCCTGAAGAAGTCCTTTGGATTGAGGACGAAACGTCGGGAAAACTTGCTAAGAAGTACAGATGATGGGTGAGAAACCTTCCTTTCCATTCTGATATGATTATATGATGTATGATAGGTATTTCTGCAAAACACACAATGTTGTGTACATACAAAAGTTAGGGACATGAAATGTATGGAAAATTATGCAACAAGTGACACTGAACAGTTATACCTTAATATATGATCTAACCCTTTATATACACAAATATATGATAGATAAATATATGATTCTATCATATATATTATATATGTACATATTATATATATAGTATATACAGTGCCTTGCGAAAGTATTCGGCCCCCTTGAACTTTTCAACATTTTGCCCCATTTCAGGCTTTAAACAAAGATATAAAAATTAATTTTTTTGTCATGAATCAACAACAAGTGGGACACAATCGTGAAGTGGAACAAAATTTATTGGATAATTTAAACTTTTTGAACAAATAAAAAACTGAAAAGTGGGGCGTGCAATATTATTCGGCCCCCTTGCGCTAATACTTTGTAGCGCCACCTTTTGCTGCAATTTGCTGCGATTACAGCTGCAAGTCGCTTGGGGTATGTCTCTATCAGTTTTGCACATCGAGAGACTGGAATTCTTTCCCATTCTTCCTTGCAAAACAGCTCGAGCTCAGTGAGGTTGGATAGAGAGCATTTGTGAACAGCAGTCTTCAGCTCTTTCCACAGATTCTCGATTGGATTCAGGTCTGTGGAAAGACCTGAATCCAATCGAGAATCTGTGGAAAGAGCTGAAGACTGCTGTTCCCACAGATTCTCGATTGGATTCAGGTCTTTCCACAGACCTGAATCCAATCGAGAATCTGTGGAAAGAGCTGAAGACTGCTGTTCCCACAGATTCTCGATTGGATTCAGGTCTGGACTTTGACTTGGCCATTCTAACACCTGGATACGTCTATTTGTGAACCATTCCATTGTAGATTTGGCTTTATGTTTTGGATCATTGTCCTGTTGGAAGATAAATCTCCGTCCCAGTCTCAGGTCTTTAGCGGACTCCAACAGGTTTTCTTCCAGAATGGTCCTGTATTTGGCTCCATCCATCTTCCCATCAATTTTAGCCATCTTCCCTGTCCCTGCTGAAGAAAAGCAGGCCCAAAGCATGATGCTGCCACCACCATGTTTGACAGTGGGGATGGTGTGTTCAGGGTGATGAGCTCTGTTGCTTTTACGCCAAGCATATCGTTTTGCATTGTGGCCAAAAAGTTCGATTTTGGTTTCATCTGACCAGAGCACCTTCTTCCACATGTTTGGTGTGTCTCCCAGGTGGCTTGTGGAAAACTTTGAGAGACTTTTTATGGATATCTTTGAGAAATGGCTTTCTTCTTGCCACTCTTCCATAAAGGCCAGATTTGTGCAGTGCACGACTGATTGTTGTCCTATGGACAGACTCTCCCACCTCAGCTGTAGTAATCTGCAGTTCATCCAGAGTGATCATGGGCCTCTTGTCTGCATCTCTGATCAGTCTTCTCCTTGTTTGAGATGAAAGTTTGGAGGGACGGCCGGGTCTTGGTAGATTTGCAGTGGTCTGATACTCCTTCCATTTCAATATAATTTCTTGCACAGTGCTCCTTGAGATGTTTAAAGCTTGGGAAATCTTTTTGTATCCAAATCCGGCTTTAAACTTCTCCACAACAGTATCTCGGACCTGCCTGGTGTGTTCCTTTGTCTTCATGGTTCTCTCTGTGCTTTCAACAGAACCCTGAGACTATCAAAGAGCAGGTGCATTTATACGGAGACTTGATTACACACAGGTGCATTCTATTTATCATCATCAGTCATTTAGGACAACATTGGATCATTCAAAGATCCTCACTGAACTTCTGGACTGAGTTTGCTGCACTGAAAGTAAAGGGACCGAATAATATTGCACGCCCCACTTTTCAGTTTTTTATTTGTTAAAAAAGTTTAAATTATCCAATACATTTTGTTCCACTTCACGATTGTGTCCCACTTGTTGTTGATTCATGACAAAAATTTAAAATTTTATATCTTTATGTTTGAAGCCTGAAATGTGGCGAAATGTTGAAAGGTTCAAGGGGGGCGAATACTTTCGCAAGGCACTGTATGTCTTTGAAGAGCCGTGTCGGGATTGCGTCTACATGCAAGTTGAGGCTTTTGAGGATGTGACCACAGAGATCACCTCTGCTTGGCTCACAGCCATGAATTTATCGTGGCCCACTGAAGAGCAGTGTTGGGCACGTTACTTTGAAAAAGTAATTAGTTATAGTTACTAGTTACTTCTCCCAAAAAGTAACTGAGTTACTAACGGAGTTACTCCACTATAAAAGTAACTAGTTACCAGTAAAAGTAACTATTGCGTTACTTTTTCTGTTTTGTTCTGGAACATAATGTGCACCCGACGTGCGCATTTTTACCTTTAACAGTGCCAATATTTCCATCTAGAAAAGTCTGTTTTGCTGCTGAAGTCCTGTTCACTCTTCATCTCTCTCTGTGCTGTAAGCACTAAACACCAACACCCGCCACTGTGAATGTGGAAACACCGGTGACGAGCGGTGAGGCTGGTGAAGCACTGACTTCAGTCCAATCAGATTAACATATACATCATATCAATCAAGTGGACAATTTGTTTGGCTACAGCAAAATATGTTTTATGCCCGCATTGTTTGTTCATACAAAACGCAAAACTATGAGTTATGGGTCTTACCTTATAAATGACCTGCACAGTCCACTTCGGTTCAGACCAGTTCCTTGTTTAAATCCAGTTAATGGTTTGAGCGTAGATATGTAATCCTCCATTTGGAAATGAGTCCAATGAGTTTTAAAAAGTAAAACAAAACGCGTGTGTCCTCCATAAACTCCTGTGTTTTGCTAGCGGCGGCCGGGTGCATCCAATTTCTAAAATCAACCGTCTTACACTTCACCTCTCTTTCTTATCATTCCTATAGTCATTGAAAAATTACCCTATGTGCATTTTAGATTATGTAAAAATGTGTTATATGTATGTTAGCCAAACCTGTTGCTGTCCTTAGCAGATAAACCAGGAAGAGCAAGGAGCTTATCGATGGAATTGTATGCAGCCTTCTGCGCTCACATGCGCTCCTCTGTGGCTGACCTCACGGTGATACAAGCCGTAGTTGAGCGCGATTAAGACCCATATTTGTTTCAAAAACACAATTTATGAGCCATCCTCTCAACTGTAGACATGTAGATTGTAAAGGAAATATGTTTTACATCAGCCAATAATTGCTGAGAGGTTTTCTCATCCTCCCTTCTCTCATGACAACACGTTCATTGTGCGTCTTGAGTAACGCGCAGTAACGGGATGTCGGAAATGATAACGGCGTTATAGTTTCTGTCAAAGTAATTAGTTAGATTACTCGTTACTGAAAAAACTTACGCCGTTACTAGTAACGCCGTTATTCCCATCACTGCTGAAGAGTCTAAGTGGGAAGTCACGTATGCCGCTTCAGCCTGTCCACTACCAACCGCAGGAGTAACCTCCTCCAGTTTGTCACGGATGGATGTAATTTTATTATTAAAGAAGTGGAGAAAGTCGACACTGCTCAGTGAGCTTGGAATTTTAGGCTCGATTGCGCTATGGCAGTTTGTGAGTTTAGCGACGGTGCTAAACAAAAATCTATTGTTATTTTTATTCGCTTCTATTAAAGTTGAATAGTATTGAGTTCGAGCCCTGCGAAGGGCATTCTTGTAGTTTCGGAGACCTGCTTTCCACTCCCTGTGGACAGGCTCCGAGTGGGAGTGGCGATATAGCCTCTCCAATTTTCTGACGTCCTGTTTTAAAGTGTGGAGTTGAACACTGTACCAGGGCGACGATGATCTAATCCTAATAGTTTTCTGTTTTAAAGGAGCTGCTGCATTTAATGCAGATTTTAAAGACTCCATAGTGTTGCCCACCGTTTGGTCAATGACTGAGGGACTGCAGCTGCTGTGAACAGGTTCACCTGCAGCAGTATTCAACATAGGCTGTATTAGTTCTTTGAACCTTGTGATAGATTTATCATTTAAGGTTCTTTTCATTATGGTTTTATCTTGCGGGACAGGAAAGTCCTCCAAATCGAGATCAAACGTGATCAAGAAATGGTCAGACAGCAACGAGCTTTGACGCTGGATGTCAACATTGGAGACATCACAGCCGTAGGTCAGGACAAGGTCCAAGGTGTGGTTATGAATGTGAGTAGGTTCCTCAACATTCTGAGTAAAACCAACACCATCTAGTACGGCGCTGAAAGCTTTGTTTAAGCTGTCAGTGCTGTCGTCCACATGTATATTGAAGTCTCCAGTTATAACTTTGTTTTCCCATTCCAAAACTAGGTTTGAAATGAAGTCAGAGAATTCTGTTAGGAACTCGCTGTAAGGACCAGGAGGTCGGTATAAAACTATAAATAGTACTGCTTTTTGTTTTCTCCACCCAGGACAGGTGATTGAAAGTGTGAAGTTTTCAAACGAGTGAAAAGCATTGTTGGTTTTGGGACTAAGAACCAAGTTGGTGTGTGATATAATCGCAACACCACCGCCGCGACCTGTAGTTCTGGCTTTCTGGTAGTTAACATGCGTCGGAGGAGTGCACTCATTCAATCTAACGTAGTCGTCCTGTTGGAGCCAAGTCTCCGAGAGCGCAAACAAATCCAAGCCCTTGTCTATAATAAGTTTGTTTATGAGAAGCGATTTAGACGAGATTGATCTGACGTTCATTAAACCACATTTAACAACCCTACCGCTAGAACTATTTCTGTCTGTCTGAACTTTTATTAAGTTACTGTGTCTGACACCCAGGTCAGATTTCCTCGCATATAGTGCTTTAGACTTCAAGCGAGGAACACACACAGTTTCAATCTGACTAGGTTCTGAGGCTAGTAACTGAGCACACACAGGCACACACACACATGTACACACAGTTTCAATCTGACTAGCTTCTGAGGCTAGTAACTGAGCCCACACAGGCACACACACACATGCACACACAGTTTCAATCTGACTAGCTTCTGAGGCTAGTAACTGAACAGATGGGGGCTCAGAGGTTGTGGCAGAGCAGCTCTGCACCCGGGCCTCAGTTCTGCACTGTCATTTGAGCCGGGCAGAACAGTTTAGAGCCAGGGCCAAATTCTTAGCCAAAAGGGATGTACCCGCCAACGTTGGGTGGATATCATCCGAGCGGATGAGACCGGGCCCAAAAGGCACTCCAATTGTCAACATGAACAACACCACTTCGAGGGCACCAGCCAGACAGCCAGCGGTTGAAAGCCAAGTGTCTGCTGAACTCCAAAGAGAAGTCTCTTTGGAGTTTGGCTGACGATAGTGGTGAAGAGGCATTGCCTTGGCAGGGAGGAAGCGCAGATGAGACTAGAGGGCCCCTGTAATGTCCAACCTAACCGGGTGCATAGGGCTGCGGGGCCACCCGGTGGTCCAAGACGAACAGCTTTGGTGGGCGTGATGAGCTGCGGGTGGTCACTACCAATAAGTAGGATGGGCTTGACGTTCTTGAAGGACCGGATGGGTAGGCCTCGGAGGTGTTTGTACTTCTGCTGGAGAGACTCAATAGGGCAACTGTGCTCGGCTAGGTCGATACGGGTGGCTGTAAAGGCGTTGTTGACTCGATACTTCAGTTTGGGTTTGCCATTGGGGGAGATGTCAAATGAGACACATGAGCCGTGTAGTGTCTGCACATCTTGTCTTATTGTGCGCAAGGGAAGTGTCTCCGGGGTCCCTGGCAGGTCTAACAATTGGGCAGCCGCAGGAAGCAGCATGGTCCTCTCTGACCCATCGTCCAAAACTGCATGAGTTCTCAGGGTCTTGCCATTATGGTGGAGGGTGACTGGAACAACTTTCAAAAGGACGCTGCCGCTCTGTGTCGCACGGTCGAGGTAGAGGACACCTATAGGATTCTCAGCCTCCTGTGCAGGAACATTCATGGCGGCAGGTGTCGTTGGACTGGTGTTTACCTGGTGGAGGACCTGTAGGTGTCAGCCCTGGCAAAGGTGACAGGGTTGCTTGAGGGTACACTGGGCTGCCTGATGTGCTCGGGCGCAGCGCCAGCATCTCCGATTGGTCTTTATCCAGTCAATAAGTTGCTCTTGACTGAGTTGAATGATCTCTGGACATTGACTCAGGTGATGAGCACGATTGTCGCAATATGCGCAGTAGGGCTCCTGCTTTGGTCGATTAGGAGAATTGGGTGTACTCTCAGTGGTGTGAAATACTGTGGTGGACCGCTTACTTGATGTGGTGTCAGGTCTCTCATTAACGCACTTGGGAGGGGGCAGTCCATCAAAATCCTGACAACATGACTTATACTTCAACCACATGGCCAGGTCATTGAGGGTGTAGGTCTGGCCGGAACGATTATACATGCACCGGCGAAAGTCAGCTCTCTGCTCTGGAGGAAGCTTGCTTAGGAGCCGAGCCACATGGGAGCCACACTGGAGTTCCACTTCACCGTCCGGACCAATAGTTTTTAACATGCCCACGAGTGACTGGATTTGGAGGGAAAATTTCTCAAACGCAGCCACGTCTCCTCTGCGGATGTCTGGTGAATCCATCACAGCTGCGATCCTTCTAAGGGCAAGCTGGTGTGGTTAGCCTAGCTTATCATTGAGAGCAGCCATGGTGTCACTGAAAGGTGTGGTGGAATGCAGGTAAGCGTCCGCTATTAACTCATTCACTGCCCATGACGACAAAACTCGTCATGTTGAATAGTAACGCTCACTGCCCATGACGAGTTTGACGAGTTTTTCATGTTATTACACGGGAGGCTACAGTAATGTCTCGCGCACCTTGTGAATGACCCACAATACTAATATATAGTGCAAATGTACCTGTAATGATAAATCAACACCAGTAGGATGCAGTATTGTGCCACAGGAGAGGTCATAAGTCAGTGGAGAGAAGGAGGAGGAGTGTGGGAGTGTTTGGAGAGCGTGCTGCTGTAGCAGAGCGTGCGATGATAGCGTAGCATTGAGACGGATCAGTGATCTAGTTTAGCGATAGTATAGCAAGAGTGATGGCGAAAAAGAATAGTTATAAGCAGTGTACACTGCTTCAGAGATTGACTCGCGGATCAGTGAGTGAGGTCGAGAGGGGAGAGAGTGGAGACCCCGGTGGAGGTCCGTCTCTGCAGCCCAGAGCCCGGAGCAGGGACACACCTTCCGCCTCTCGCAGCGTATCAGCTGCTGTTGTTACTGATGCCTCGGATTCGTTCAGAGAACCTGATCATGATTTATCGGATGAGTGGTTGCAGTCTCAATCCAGCAGAGCATCCTCTCCAGAAGCTCCACAAAGAGTCGAAGGTAAGAACTTTCTAAATTGCCTCGAATATGCTAACTTGAGAGGAGGGAAAGGCGCGGAAACTTGCTTTGATCTGCAGAGTAACACAACGCTCAAATCCTACTGTTTCTTTAGTAAATACCAGTTATGCGTTTTATCATTGTTGTATTTATTATTTTTATGTTTAGTTATTTCATACTTGAACATCTTGTTGCAGTGACATAGCTCTGACTAAATGAAATGTGTTCATTCACAGATTCTGATAAAAGAGCCCTCCCCCATTGGGGTTGACAGGGCATGGAGGTAAAGATAATGCCTCCTCATACCATTGTACATATTTTTGTATATATTCTCCTGGTATAGTGATTTACAAATTTATATTATTTACAGGTGGTGCATCAAGAGGCAGTTGCTGTGCACAAAAAAGGTAAAAGAACTACTATTTCTATTCTTGTACATCCCATGGCAATATAATATAATAATAATAATATAGTATACTGTGTTTGGTCCAAAAGCAGTCAGTCAATAATGTGGGAGGAAGGCCTTCATTGTATTTTATGTATTGATTTGTTGTAACAAATTCACTGTATAATATAGTTATTGTGTGTATCCAATTTCCAGCACGTTCGTCACCCAGAAGCTCTGGGGAAGATGGCTGACAGGAGGATCAGTGGGAGCCGAGTCAGTCCCTTCACAGGAGCTCCTGGACCTCAGAGACTGCAGACAGAGGCTGCGAAGCTGTATTCATCTGATCCAGACTTTCTGGAGCTGGATTCATCTGATCCAGACTTTCTGGAGCTGGATTCATCTGATCCAGCTGACTTTCTGGAGCTGGATTCATCTGATCCAGACTTTCTGGAGCTGGATTCATCTGATCCAGACTTTCTGGAGCTGGATTCATCTGATCCAGACTTTCTGGAGCTGGATTCATCTGATCCAGACTTTCTGGAGCTCTTCTTCACGGAGGGAGAACTACAAATGTCACATCGTGTCGTGTTCCGTTGCACACAGTGTTTCAACCTCTACAACTCAAAGCTGAACTACTGGGAGGACTGAAAAAGCAGATGAACTCACTCATACACACACTCACAAACACTCACACGAACACACACACACGCACTCACTCACTCACGCGCACACAGACACACGCACTCACTCACGCACACAGACACTCACTCGCACACTGACATTCAAACACACACACTCAAATTCACATGCTTCATTCTATTTTATACATCTATAGTTTTATTGATCTTTGTGTTGTTGTTGTTTGACGTTTTGGTTGATGGTATAGAAGAAAGTTAAATTTTCTATCTGTGAATAAATTGCCAACAATTTGCCATCAAAAGTATTATTTCAGAGTCATGTTTTTATAATATTTGTAATGAAACAAGTGTGAAGATGTTTTTAGTTGTCACTAAAGCAGCAAAAATGCATCTAAAGTCTCTTTTCTGCTTGATATGTTCCTGTTTACATACAGCTCGTTTTCTGTTTTCTTGCTCAGACCAGGTGTTGTGGGTGAAAGTATGCTTTGTTCTATGGCGAATAGCTCAAGAACGGTAAAAGGTAGAAACAAACTGTTTTTTTTTTAAGAGTAAAGCAGAGAGGTTATTCTTTAATTTGGTGCCCTTGGTGTTTACATCGTCTAAAAAATGAATATTCTGTGGCACTTCAAAGTTGGGTCAAATTGCCTGAAATTGCTGGCAGAACGCACTTCTCAAATCTGAAAATGACTGGCAGTCAGTGAGTTAACTTCGCCTCCTCTGGGTATAAGTGATCTAACAAGACTTGGTATTTAAATAGCTCTGTACTTTCTGGCGGCAGGAGGTTCTCTAGCGCCATCTTTAGGCGAGCGAATTCACCAGGATCACGGTTTATGAGCTTGGGAATGCTCGGGCGAGGACCCCTGTAGGTCATCTCACCAAGTGGAGTGAAGCTCTGAATATTATCCATCTTAATAGAACAGAAACTGCTTGATCCGGCTCGAAGGACCATCAATGTAGGATAGATAACTCAGGGGTGGACTGTATAGAAGGTGCTGGTTTGGTATTGAAGCAGTTACTGTCCTGGAGGGTCGGCCAGAACACTACTTGAGCCAAAATGATATGCAGAGGGGAGACATTGACGAGACGGGTTGATACTTTGCCTTTGTATTGAACATAGGGTCTGAGTACAGGTTTGGGTGTGTGCCTGTCTGTGTGAGTGTGTGTGTGGTATCTGCAAATAAACACAAATAAAGACTAAATTACAAAGTGCTCATCTCCATACAAACACAATATATCAGGGTTATAAAGAATAATAAACATTCCACATTGCACAGAACAGCTAGCTTAGCTCCCTGCAGCTACATGGCCACATATATATATAAAAGGCTCTTGAATGAACTAAAACACTTAAACACAGGTTTACAACCATCAGAAGTTCTTAGGTACTTACTTTAGTCATGAACACACACTTTGGACCACAACAACAGACTGCATCTGACACTTATATTTGTAGCAAGAAAAGGGTGTTTTCACTCTCGTCACCGTCTGACTCAGGTAAAAGGTAGAGGCGCCCTCTAATGGACACTCACAGAACAACAGGTAAACAAACAGTAGTAATATACATGCAATTACTCCTTGAGATGTTTAAAGCTTGGGAAATCTTTTTGTATCCAAATCCGGCTTTAAACTTCTCCACAACAGTATCTCGGACCTGCCTGGTGTGTTCCTTTGTCTTCATGGTTCTCTCTGCGCTTTCAACAGAACCCTGAGACTATCAAAGAGCAGGTGCATTTATACGGAGACTTGATTACACACAGGAGCATTCTATTTATCATCATCAGTCATTTAGGACAACATTGGATCATTCAAAGATCCTCACTGAACTTCTGGACTGAGTTTGCTGCACTGAAAGTAAAGGGGCCGAATAATATTGCACGCCCCACTTTTCAGTTTTTTACTTGTTAATAAATTCCGTTCCACTTCACGATTGTGTCCCACTTGTTGTTGATTCATGACAAAAAAATAAAATTGTATATCTTTATGTTTGAAGCCTGAAATATGGCGACATTTTGAAAGGTTCAAGGGGGCCGAATACTTTCGCAAGGCACTGTATATCCATCCATCCATCCATTTTCTACCCTTTAATCCATTTCTGGGTCAGGGGGGTGGCAGTCAGAGATGCCACCCAAGTCTCATAGCACCAGCCCCTCACTGACCCTCTGCAGGTGGTGAGTCCACAGGAGGACGGCTGCTCTCTGAGTGTGAGCATAGCCTTGATCTTTCAGTGGGGGCTTTGGGGCAAAGTGGGGTTAAGTGTCTTGCCCAAGGACACAACGACAGCAGTCATCAGTGGGAGTCGGTGGAGAAGGTGTCGAGGTGGGAATTGAACCCACAACCTTCAGGCCTGAAGGCCAATGCTCTACCAACTGAGCTACTGTCGCCCCAGCACTGTATATATTATATATATATTAGAATACTATATATACACTAAAATATGATAAAGCTCATACACTATAATATGATAGAGCCCATATACACTAATAAATCAGTGTATAAATGATAGAAACCATATACACTAATATATGATAGAGCCGTGTGTATTCACTAAGCAGTTAGTGGCAGTAAAAGTACTGAACTCAATCTTTTTACTGAGTTGAAAAATTAAGAGACAATGTATGAATACATTTCCTATCTTCATATTTCCTATTGTTTATACTTACTTCTTCCCATTTTACTCCTAAAAATGTGTTTGAACCTTTCTTCAACAAAACTGGTATTTGTGAACCAAAGCTGATGAAATTGTGACTCAGCCTGTTTGCTGTTCAATGCTCAGATATTATGTGTCTGATTTTGTTGGTGACATAAATACAGTTCGGTGATAATCTATTCACAAACTACTATCAACAATAACGGTCAAACTTACTGTGAAAAGTATTCCCCGAGCCCTGTTTTGAATAGTCCGCCTATTTTGACAGCAACACTCCGCACAGTGCTCAGGCATCGCGCTGCAGGAGGACCGGTCCAAGATGGCGACCACATTTCTCGTTCTCGAGCGGCCAATGCAGCGTCTACTCTTTATGTCTATGGTAGAGTTAGCATTGGCTGTAGAGTTAGCATTGGCTATAGAGTTAGCATTGGCTATACAGTTAGCATTGGCTATACAGTTAGCATTGGCTGTAGAGTTAGCATTGGCTATAGAGTTACACATTGGCTATAGAGTTAGCATTGGCTATAGAGTTAGCATTGGCTATACAGTTAGCATTGGCTATACAGTTAGCATTGGCTGTAGAGTTAGCATTGGCTATAGAGTTACACATTGGCTATAGAGTTAGCATTGGCTATAGAGTTAGCATTGGCTATAAAGTTAGCATTGGCTATAGAGTTAGCATTGGCTATAAAGTTAGCATTGGTTTTAGAGTTAGCATTGGTTGTAGAGTTAGCATTGGTTTTAGAGTTAGCATTGGCTGTAGAGTTAGCATTGACTATACAGTTAGCATTGGCTATACAGTTAGCATTGGCTGTAGAGTTAGCATTGGCTATAGAGTTAGCATTGGCTATAGAGTTAGCATTGGCTATAAAGTTAGCATTGGTTTTAGAGTTAGTATTGGTTTTAGAGTTAGCATTGGCTGTAGAGTTAGCATTGGCTATAGAGTTAGCATTGGCTATAGAGTTAGCATTGGCTATAAAGTTAGCATTGGTTTTAGAGTTAGCATTGGTTTTAGAGTTAGCATTGGTTTTAGAGTTAGCATTGGCTATAGAGTTAGCATTGGCTATACAGTTAGCATTGGCTATACAGTTAGCATTGGCTGTAGAGTTAGCATTGGCTATAGAGTTAGCATTGGCTATAGAGTTAGCATTGGCTATACAGTTAGCATTGGCTGTAGAGTTAGCATTGGTTACAGACTTAGCATTGGCTATAGAGTTAGCATTGGCTATACAGTTAGCATTGGCTGTAGAGTTAGCATTGGTTACAGACTTAGCATTGGCTATAGAGTTCCTCGTTACATACTGATTCTAAACATCTGTGAATATCTCTCCAGTTTTAAGTTTGAGCAGTCCCACACATAAATTATTATTATTATTATTATTATTATTGTTATTATTATCAATGCATTTTTGTAAAACTTAACAGTCAACAGTCGACCCAAACCTTAACCCAGACACAAACACTTCATACTTTCCTGAGAATGAGATCATGTTTTACAGATGAGACAAAATGCTCCAGAGCGTAACGTGGCGTCAGGCCTGAGATAATCCATGGACTGGGCATTATTGTCTCGGTCTTGGGATCAGAGTTTGTGAAAGCAGAGGTCACACTTTAGGTCTCATCTCTGATACATTTGTGCGCTGGCTTTTATATTAAGTGAGAGTTGTTGAAATGACTGAGTCCATTCTCCAAAGTCCGGTCCTCTGTGTCTCAGAGTCTGTGCGGCTGGTTGGAGGCTCTGGTCTCTGCTCTGGATCACTGCAGATCTGGGACCAGTCCTGGACCTCGGTCTGTGAAGGGGCCTTGGACCTGAGGGGAGCAGAGGTGCTGTGCAGGGAGCTGGACTGTGGCGCTCCTTCTTTCCTCCAGGGGGCGCGCTCTCCTGTGGGGCAGACGTTCCACTGTGAAGGCCATGAGTCTGCTCTGATGGACTGTCCCCGCTCCAGACCCAAGACCTGCTCCTCTGGACCCAGTGTGAACATCACCTGCTCAGGTAAGGGGGCGGTGCTCAGGTGAGGGGGCGGGGCTCAGGTGAGGGGGCGGTGCTCAGGTGAGAGGGGCGGGGCTCAGGTGAGGGGGCGGGGCTCAGGTGAGGGGGCGGTGCTCAGGTGAGAGGGGCGGGGCTCAGGTGAGGGGGCGGTGCTCAGGTGAGAGGGGCGGGGCTCAGGTGAGGGGGCGGGGCTCAGGTGAGAGGGGCGGGGCTCAGGTGAGGGGGCGGTGCTCAGGTGAGAGGGGCGGGGCTCAGGTGAGGGGGCGGTGCTCAGGTGAGGGGGCGGTGCTCAGGTGAGGGGGCGGGGCTCAGGTGAGGGGGCGGTGCTCAGGTGAGAGGGGCGGGGCTCAGGTGAGGGGGCGGTGCTCAGGTGAGAGGGGCGGGGCTCAGGTGAGGGGGCGGTGCTCAGGTGAGGGGGCGGTGCTCAGGTGAGGGGGCTGGGCTCAGGTGAGGGGGCGGTGCTCAGGTGAGAGGGGCGGGGCTCAGGTGAGGGGGCGGGGCTTAACTCTCCTCCCTCTTGTGTCCAGAGCCTGTCAGGCTGGTGGGAGGGTCCGGTCGCTGTGATGGGATCCTGGAGCTCAGACACAGAGGAGACTGGAGACGTGTGAAGACGTCCTTTGACATCTGGACTCTGATGGAGACAGCTGCCGCCTGCAGAGACCTGGGCTGTGGCTCTGCAGTGAAGCAGAAGGAGAGATGGGACTTTCCAAAGAGCCCGGTGTGGGGGGTCTTATCGTACTGTCTGTGGAGCGCCTCTCTGAGAGAGTGTATCTCGGAGGAAGACTCCACCTCCTCCAAAGGAGTGGAACTGGTGTGCTCAGGTACAAGTCTGACCCTTCATCTTTCATCTTAATGATCCGAGACTAAACACACAACATTTAACATCCAGGAAGAAGCGACAGAGGAGAGAGGAGGAGGAGGAGAGGAGAGAGAAGGAGAGGAGGAAGGAGAGTACAGGAAAGAAAAGAGGAGAGGAAAGAGGAGAGAGAGAGGAGAGGGAGGAATGGAGAGAGGAAATACTTACTGAGGTACACGGACAGAGGTTTAACATGAAGTGTTCTTTACTGAACCGTCCAATCCTGTCTCTCCACAGACTTACTGAACCGTCCAATCCTGTCTCTCCACAGACTTACTGAATCGTCCAATCCTGTCTCTCCACAGACTTACTGAACCGTCCAATCCTGTCTCTCCACAGACTTACTGAACCGTCCAATCCTGTCTCTCCACAGACTTACTGAACCGTCCAATCCTGTCTCTCCACAGACCTACTGAATCGTCCAATCCTGTCTCTCCACAGACTTACTGAATCGTCCAATCCTGTCTCTCCACAGACTTACTGAATCGTCCAATCCTGTCCCTCGTGGTGACGGTGGGGGTCTCCCAGGTGGAGGTCCAGGTGGAGGTCCAGGCAGTGCGTGTGCAGTTGGGGTCTCAGTTCTTGGTCCAGTGCTCGGTGAAGCCTCAGTTCCCAGGAGGCTCCTTCCAGCTGCTCTCTCCCTCTGGGAACCACACCCTGCCTGCTGTCAATCACTCTGCCCACTTCCTGTTCAATCACACTGGCCCCGCCCACAAAGGAAACTACACCTGTGTTTACCACCTACAGGTGTTCAACCACAGCTTCACCTCCGAGAGCGAGAGACTGGAGCTGAGGCTGGGAGGTACGCCTATACTCTACCGTCACATGACCGTCACATGACCGTCACAGGACCGTCACAGGACCGTCACATGAACGTTACATGACCTTCACATGACCTTCACAGGACCGTCACATGACCTTCACATGACCGTCACATGACCGTCACAGGACCGTCACATGACCGTCACAGGACCGTCACATGACCGTCACAGGACCGTCACATGACCGTCACATGACCGTCACAGGACCGTCACATGACCGTCACAGGACCGTCACATGACCGTCACAGGACCGTCACATGACCGTCACATGACCTTCACAGGACCGTCACATGACCTTCACATGACCGTCACATGACCGTCACAGGACCGTCACATGACCGTCACAGGACCGTCACATGACCGTCACATGACCGTCACATGACCGTCACATGACCGTCACAGGACCGTCACATGAAAGTCACAAGACCGTCACATGACCGTCACAGGACCGTCACATGAACGTTACATGACATTCACATGACCTTCACAGGACCGTCACATGACCGTCACAGGACCGTCACATGACCGTCACAGGACCGTCACATGAAAGTCACAAGACCGTCACATGACCGTCACAGGACCGTCACAGGACCGTCACATGAAAGTCACAAGACCGTCACATGACAGTCACATGACCGTCACAGGACCGTCACATGACCGTCACATGACCGTCACATGACCTTCACAGGACCGTCACATGACCTTCACATGACCGTCACAGGACCGTCACATGAAAGTCACAAGACCGTCACATGACCGTCACAGGACCGTCACATGAACGTTACATGACATTCACATGACCTTCACAGGACCGTCACATGACCGTCACAGGACCGTCACATGACCGTCACAGGACCGTCACATGACCGTCACAGGACCGTCACATGACCGTCACAGGACCGTCACATGAAAGTCACAAGACCGTCACATGACCGTCACAGGACCGTCACAGGACCGTCACAGGACCATCACAGGACCATCACAGGACCGTCACATGACCGTCACATGACAGTCACATGACCGTCACAGGACCGTCACATGACCGTCACATGACCGTCACATGACCGTCACAGGACCGTCACATGAACCTCACATGACAGTCACATGACCGTCACAGGGCCGTCACATGACCGTCACATGACCGTCACATGAACCTCACATGACAGTCACATGACCATCACATGACCGTCACATGAAAGTCACAAGACCGTCACAGGACCGTCACATGACCGTCACATGACAGTCACATGACCGTCACATGACAGTCACATGACCGTCACATGACCGTCTCATGACCGTCACATGACCGTCACAGGACCGTCACATGAACCTCACATGACAGTCACATGACCGTCACAGGGCCGTCACATGACCGTCACATGAACACTGTGAGCACCAGTCCAAACTGTCAGTTAGAGAAAGTGTGACATCACCCTTCACAGTCCAAAGTGTCAGTTAGAGAAAGTGTGACATCACCCTTCACAGTCCAAAGTGTCAGTTAGAGAAAGTGTGACATCACTCTTCACAGTCCAAAGTGTCAGTTAGAGAAAGTGTGACATCACCCTTCACAGTTCAGTTTCTGAAAATAAAAAGAAAGTGTTTTTTATGAAAAAGGAAAAAGAGAAATGTTGTTTTTTTTTGTTGCAGCTTTAGACTCAGACCTGATCATCAGGGTCCTGATGATTCTCCTGCTGAAGCTGCTGTACATCTTCCCATTGTACTGCAAGGTAGGACTACTACTACTACTACTACTATTACTACTACTTCCACTACTACTACTACTACTACTATTTCTGTCTTTTAATGTTGTTTTATGTCTGTATTTGTCTGTGCACACTGGAGACTTTTTTGCTAATGTATTCCTATGTGGTTTTTTTACTGCAAATGCCAAATAAAATGAATCTGAATCTGAATCTACTACTACTACTACTACTACAGAGTTCTCTGCTGTATCACAGACTCAAACAGGAACATGGACAAAGCAGAGACAGACATTTTGTCACTGATGAACCCTTTACTGATTCTAACCTTTGAACTTTGTCTTGTTTCAGGTCAAAAGAGGCTCTCGACGGACGGACCGACTGTGAGGGTCCTGGGTCAGATCCGGGTCAGACCTGGGTCGGACCCGGTTTAGACCTGGGTCGGACCCGGTTCAGACCTGGTTCGGACCCGGTTCAGACCTGGTTCTGACCCGGGTCAGACCTGGGTCGGACCTGGTTCAGACCTTGTTCGGACCTGGTTCAGACCTGGTTCAGACCTGGTTCAGACCTGGTTCAGACCCTAAAAAATAATGTATTTAGTAAAACTGCTTTGCTTTAGATGCTTTGTTTAACTTTGACCACAAGATGGAGACAGTGAGACCAAAGACACTGAAGCTGGTCCTGGTTCCTTACTGGTTCCTCACTGGTTCATTACTGGTTCATCACTGGTTCATCACTGGTTCATTACTGGTTCATCACTGGTTCATCACTGGTTCATTACTGGTTCATCATTGGTTCATTGCTGGTTACTCACTGGTTCATTGCTGGTTCATTGCTGGTTCATTGCTGGTTCATCACTGGTTCATTACTGGTTCATCGCTGGTTCCTCACTGGTTCATTACTGGTTCATCACTGGTTCATCACTGGTTCATTACTGGTTCATCATTGGTTCATCGCTGGTTCATCATTGGTTCATCGCTGGTTCATCACTGGTTCATCACTGGTTCATTACTGGTTCATTGCTGGTTCATTGCTGGTTCATTGCTGGTTTCTCACTGGTTCATTGCTGGTTCTTGAAGCTCATTTGTCTTTGTCGCTTATGAAATAAACTTTAATTTGGAGCTTGGTCTCAGCATCAGAGACGTATTACTGTGTTTTTATGTTTATTATTACTATTGCTTTCACAATGGTGAAAACAAATGCGGCGGTGCGTGACTCACCCCGACGTGACGGTTGCGTGCGTAAACTCAAAAGCTTTAAAATGATGTATCACGTGCCATTGAAACCTATATTGTTTTTGCTCGAGACGTCGAAAAAATAATTCCTTGTTTATTTATTTATTTAGGCCCGAGCCCCGAACGGGGAAAGGGCCTATTGTTTTTGCTCCAGAGATGTCAAATTCTGCACTTTGAGCCTTAATTTCACCCCCTGAACATGACTGAAAAGTTGTAAAATTTTGCCCAAACATCAGACCTGGTGAAAAATTTGATATTTTGGTGTTTATTTTTATGGGACTCAAAAAATGCCAGAACAGTGCCACCTACAACAGCCAATGGGAGTTTCAGAGGTCAAGTTTGTCGTAGAGTCATTACATTCGGTACACATGTTCCTCAAGTCAAGATACGACCAAAATGTTACCATGGCTCCGCCCTCTGACAAACAGGAAGTCCATACATTTCACTGCAAAATGGAAAAATGAAAAGGGATCCTTTTCACAAGTGTCGGTTGGAAAGGCTCCCCCTCGGCCGTTTCACCGATTGGCCTCAAATTCGCTCCACATTTTTGATCAGTGAAACATTGTTTGAGCAGCGGAGCGGTAAAATGTGAGTGTTTATTGGCCGTTTTTGACAGTATTAAATTTGCTGCCGTTTGCACAAACAAACTTCAATTTGCACAAAACTTTAATACATTGTTCAACGCAAGGGTCTAGGTCATTTGAAAGTGAAATGATTCAAATTGACATATTAGCGCCCCCTACAGACTATTTCAAAGTTTTATATGGGCATTTTCAAATTTTGTTTTTTCAAAATGTTTGAAATTTTGCACATAAATCTGTTTTGCCCTCTTGATTCAAAAAGTCAATAGGGCCCAAGGCTTATTTTTTACCCTGTTGCCATGGCGACAACAAACTCTCCCCATTCATTGTCTGTGGCAATTGTACACCTCGCACAAACCTTAAACCAGCCTCGGCCGTTTCACAGATTTGGTCGAAAATCGCTCCACATCATCTCAACACATGTGCCATCAAAATAACTTCAGTTATTAGTGACTATCACTATCAGTGAAACGTTGTTTGAGCAGCGGAGTGGCAAAATGTGACCTTTTTTCCCCATGTTGACGATAGAAACATAGCTCCCTTTTGCACAAACCAAGTCCGATTTGCACCAAATTTGATTCGCTTGTTCAAGTTTTGGGTAAACTGAAAGTGTTAAACGTTAAATTGCAGCAGTAGCGCCCCCTACAGACTGAGTCAAGTTTTACATAGGTGAGAATGGCATTTAGTAAGTCTGATTTGCACTAAACTTGACTCGGTTGTTCAACTCCTGGGCCTAGGTCGCCTGAAAGTGTGAACAATTACATTGTCCCATTAGCGCCCCCTACAGGCTGAGTAAAACTTTTACATAGGGGACACAGCGCATTTATTTTTTCTGTTGTTTGACCTCACACAGTATTTGACCCACTGAGCATGCACAAAATCTCACCATATTCTTTTATTATTATTTTTTTTCTAGCAACAAATGAATTATTTTGATGTCTTTGGTATAAGACTAAAAAATGTATTCGTAGGCGTCGCTATTATTCAAAGTAAATGACCGATGTTTGCACATGCAAAGTCTGATTGATGAAATTTGATGTGATAGTTCAACTCTCGAGTTTGGGTAAACTGAAAGTGTAAAACATGAAATTTCTGCATAAGCACCCCCTACAGACTGAGTCCAGTATTACATGGGGAGAATAAGGTTTAGTTTTTCAATAGAGACACACAATCATTGATCATAGTGTGGCTCCCATCGGGGCTTTAGGAAGATGGTGCGTCACATGGTCATCCAATGGAGACTACATATATATGGACACGCTTACAGATTGTATGTGGAAACAGAATCACATGTAAAGTCTGATTTGTACGCCGCAACTCGTGCGCGCGGTTTGGGGAGTCGCACGGGGCGGGTAGCCGCGCGGGGCGTGGGGAGTCACGCGGTGTGGCGAGGGCCGTTCAACGCCACTTGAGGCTTTAATTAGGCACGAGCCCCAACTGAGGTCAGGGCCTATTTCTTTTCCAACGAGTAATGCCTGGGCGAAGCCCGACGGCGCGTGCCCAGACACTGACAAAACAGTGGGTGGGGGGGGGGGGGGGGTGACCTCATGATGTTGAGTGCATGATGTCGAGGTGATTGACGCGCTCGTCAATCACCGAGAACCCAATAGTTGCGTTCGCTATTATCAATGAACCCAAAGCTAATAATTGAATAATAAATGTCTCTAAAAATATATTATATATTGTTTTTTTACATTGTAATGGTCATAAACGCTCTTTGCAGTTGTCTGTGTTTGCAGCTGAGGATTTTCAAACTTGGGGAATAACAGTAAACTCTCTGCCTCCCTCTGGGGGCAGCACAGGGCGTTACACACGGAAAGCATTGTTTACCTTTATACTTGTTACGCCTTTTATTTTCTACTGACAACACTGTTTGTGTGTCTGTATGTGTGAATGTGTGTATGTGTGTGTGTGTGTGTGTATATGTGTGTGTATGAATGTGTGTATGTGTGAATGTGTGTGGGTGTGCTTGTATGTGTGTATGTGTGCACTTGTTTTCAACTCCTGGTGGGTTCCATAACCTGAGATTCCACTCACGTCATGGGGACTGGTTTTACGTGGTGGGGCCCGAACACCGGACCCCACTGGTCCAAGCTTAATAATCAATGGGTAATGCTTTTCTAACGGTCCTTATGCAGTCTCTGTAAAAATATGGAAAGGACCCCTGGAGGTTTACTTTCCTGAAAAAAGTGTGTTATGTGTCGGAACCCTGGTGGTGGGTTGCGGGATATCAAGGAGGGGCACACTGGGGCAATTTCAGTCCAGCAGGCTGGAGCCAATCATGGAGCAGCACAACAGAGGCTGGAGCCAATCATGGAGCAGCACAACAGAGGCTGGAGCCAATCATGGAGCAGCACAACAGAGGAAATCAGGTGTCAGGCTAGAAAAAGGTGCAAGTGTGTGGTTCATTAGGCTGCAAGAAATCATGGAGGAGCACACTGAAGCGCACGCTTACAAACCACTGGTAAGTGCTGACTACAAGTCATGACTTCAAATTGTTATATAGAATTATTACAAATTATTTGTTGTTTGTGCAGCTTAGTCAAGAGTCCCTAATTGATGAAGTCGACTCAGATTCTGACGATTTAACTGTCAAGAAGAAACCTGTAAAAAAGTATGGAAAATGAAAAATCAAAAACACTTTTCTTCAAGACTCGGAAAGTGACGAACCAAAGGCAAATAAGATTGTTATCATGCAGCTGCAAAAGAAGAAAAATGGGGGGCGAGTTTACAGCAAGAGGCACTTCTGCCTCTACTGTTCAATGTCCTGCCACAAAATGTCCCGTCATTTGACTAGAAAACATGGAAATGAAAGTGACGTAGCCAGAGCATTGGCTCTACCTGTGAAATCTAAAGCACGTAAACTTCAGTTTGATTTGATCAAACTTTAGTCCCAGCTAAACAGCCAAATCCAGTGAGTTTTTGCACTGTATAGACTGTGGGGCATTGCTTAAGCGAAAGTCGCTGAGGAGGCATGTGGCCAGGTGCCGGCTTTCACAGAAAGATGCCCAGGCTAAACCAGGTAGAAGTAGGGTCCAGTCCCTCTGCTCCCTAGCCCAGCCTGTACCGGAGGGCATCAGCAAAAAGCTGTGCTCTTTAATTTGGGCAATGCATCAGGATGAGGTCACGGGTGTTGTCAAAGCAGAAAAGGGGATTCTGAGACTCGGAGAGCACCTGTACTTAAAACACGGGCATGATAAGACTAAGCATGATTACATTAGGCAGAAAATGAGAGAAGTCGGTAGGTTAATTAACGAAGCAAAAACCGCAGGGAAACTGAAAACAATGAAGGATTTCTTTATTCCTTCCAACTTTAACCATGTGATTGATGCAGTCAGGTCTGTGGCTGGATATGATGAGGAAACAAATCAATACAAGACTCCATCCTTGGCCCTCAAACTCGGCCATAGCCTCAGAAAGCAGATATTCTTGAATGTGACTCAAAAATGGAGCATTGTGTTGATGAACTATTTATTAAAAACCTCCAACGAAGCCGGCTGCTTTTTGAGAAGAGGTGGGACGTCTGTGTTTCTTCTGCTGCCCTACAGACCCTCCGGCAAGCCAAGTGGAACACTCCGGACCTGCTCCCTCTGACTGAGGACGTTAGAGCCATGCATGCACATATTGAGGTATGTCGACCTGAATATGTGCAAACCCTAATAAGTGAGCCAACCTCTAAGCATTGGTCTAAACTGGCAGTTTTGACTCTTTGTGAGGTCATTATTTCCAATCGAAGAAGGGAAGGTGAGGTTTCAAAGATGCCACTGACAGCGTTTACCTTAAAAAGTAAGACTGGGATCCATTCTGACATGGCTCTGGGACTGTCCGAACTTGAGAAAAAGCTGTGTCAGCATTTTCAACGCATTGAAATTAAAGGGAAAAGAAGTCGGAAAGTGCCGGTTCTTTTGACTCCTGAAATGATTGCTTGGATGGAGGTGCTGGTGGAGAACAGAAGGGCCTGTTCCATCTCTGACCATAACCCATACTTCTTCTCCCGCCCGGGCGCAGACACCCACATCAGGGGATCAGACTCCCTACGCCAGGTAGCCAAAGAATGTGGTGCGGTGCATCCAGAGATACTATCCTCAACCAAACTTAGAAAGCACATAGCTACTATGTCTACAGTTCTCAATATGAAAGAGAATGAAATGGACATACTAGCCAACTTCCTCGGCCATGACATTCGCATCCACAGACAATATTACAGACTACCAGACGGGACACTGGAGCTGGCCAAAATCAGCAAAGTGTTGATGGCCATGGAGCAGGGAAGAGTGACGGAATTCAAAGGAAAGAGCCTCGACCAGATACAAATTGAGCCTGAAGGTAATTCTTGATATTATTAAAATATGTATAATTTTTTTCCCCTAAAGGCCACTTGTATTTTTATTTTCTGTGCGACAGGGAGAGCAGTAGAGATCCTCTCACAAACGGACGGGCTAAAAGAAACTTCAAGCGGAGAACCTTCAACCATTCATCCAGATGCACCCCATGGTAGTGGCAGTTCCCCTTCTGGTAAGTGTACCAGGTGGGGGATTACAGCCAGGCTGCTTGGTCCTAACCCTGGGAGTGTATATTGCTAATATATTTTTATTTCTCTCCCTAGAACGTTAGAGAAAGCCATGGTCTGTATCTGAGGTGAAGGCTGTGGAGAAGACCATGACACCTTTCATACAGACTGGAAAAGTCCCTGGGAAGTCTCACTGCCTGGCCTGGCCTGGCCTGGCCTGCATTAATGCCTCACCAGATGACCTTAGACATCGGACATGGAGTGGCATTAAATTCTATGTCAAAAATAGAATCACTGCAATTCGAAAAAAAAAATCTAAAATAAAATTCCTTTAAAAGAGTTGTTTGTTTTCTATTGACTGTTTTGTATTACTTAAAGTAGTCCCAGTAAAAAAGATTATGTCTATGGGTCCCATTCTGAACGGCCCTGTCAAAGGGACCCACCAGGTAACAAAAACGTGTATGTGTGGGTGTGCAGAAATAAATGACTTCCCGAGAGGGCCCGGGTTAAAATTACGCTTGTATAGGGATGGGAGAACCACACTGTCTAATCTGCCTTGCTTTTCAACATTTCCAATTGCTTCCATTCATATTCTAAAGAATTGTACAACACAAAAAACTGCTGAAGACACTTGACAGAGAAAGGAAAACTGAGTTTCAAAGTTAGTAATATCCCCACGGAGGTTAACGACTGCCACTGGTTCATCAAAGATGTCAATGTTTTTCTTTCCACAGGGAAGGTATCAAGTAAGTTCCGCGAGTCCATTGGAGATTATTCTTGGACTATCGCCACACGGCATGTTGCGCTGCACAAAGGTGTCGTGGTTTTGCTGGGGGTTGCTCAGGAGTTTGTTTAGAATCTCAGACTTGGACAAAGAGCATTTACCAAGTCTCACGAACGAGATCATTGGGATTTCAGAGTGAACAACACTTTCTTCTTTGAAGCCTTTGGTTTCAGAGAGAGATTTAGGTCTGTACTGTTTGACAATGGCTCTCAAAGCCCACAGCATCAGTGTGACATTTTGAGTGACAGTTCCTGCTGCACAAAGCTATCAGTAGTGATGTGCTGAGCGTGCCGGGTCTTTGAAGCGTGTACCGAGTAAAAAAGGGGCGTATTTTTTTAAGCGTGGTTCGAGGCGTGTGTTGGTGACGTTCGAAGCCTCGCGTAGCGGCCGCACCCCGTGACGGTTCATATAGTGCTTCATATCGTTCGGAGAGTGCATTGCTTTGACAGGTGCTTTGTGATCCGCGGCTGTACCATAGACTGTATTGGCTGTCCCCGTCTGCCTCTGTGTGCGTACATGTGTGTGCGTACGTGTGTGTGGGTACGTGTGTGTGCGTGTGTGTGTGGAGCAGTCCTGTACTAAGTATAGAGAAACTACTTCATATGAAATACAATTAAAAACGTTTCACTTTAGTAAAACCTCATATATCAAGGCTTCAAGTTATTAGTAATAATACGCTGGATAATACATTTCACAACAGCTGTGTGGCGCAGTCGGTCTATGACGGACTCCGAAGCAGAAGATATAGCGTTCGAATCCTGGTCTACCCATAATACATTTTGTGTTGCAAAGTAAATGTATTTATTTATTGGGAATAAATGGTTTGTTGTGTTTAATTAATCCACCTCTTGGTAGTTTTTCCTCCATTAATCACTTTCTGTAGAACTGTATTACTTTGGATGTGTTTGTTGTATCAACACAATTGACTGAAAGACTCAAGTAGTTCATAGTTCATGAAGCATCATTTCAAACACAACACGTTAGACCATAGATTGTAAATATACATTTTAACATTAGATCTCACCATTCATTGTAAGCACTTAAGAGTGTTATGTATTTCTTTGTCCACATGATGGCGTAGTGGAGCATGATTCACCTTGAGCCTTCGACTCATGGGCCGAGTAATAGGCTGCGATCCCTCAAGGCTTCATGGGGCTTCATATTGCCATCACTAGCTATCAGAGCACAGAAACAGAGCTGTTATTATGTCAAGAGGATTAACGGTGCAAGCAGAGGTTAAACTCCTCAATACATTTTCAAGATCTAAGGTCGAGATGTCAGAACTTTCAACAAAGTTTGTTTCACTTAAAGTACATTTTACATTTCTCGCTTTAACATTTACCATCATCAGTTTTTTGAGAAAATACCAAGCAACGTCTTTGTTTGACATCACATTGTTTTCAGTCATCGTCCTCTCATCGATTTGCAGAATCTTATTTAGACAAAGCTTCTTGTTGTGATGGATTTCCAGATCCAAATCCTCAAGTGCAGACTCCACGTATGTTTCTGTGGAAACAAGTTTAAGGATTATGTTGTAATCTAATTGCAGTTGTCAAGTTCAAAGATGGAGACTTCCTTGTGCGAGTGGAGGTCTCTGCAGCCTCACTCTGGAGCCTGTTCTGGAGCTGTGCACACACAGAGAACAGGTACTGCCGTCCCGGCCTCAGGTCTCTGATGGTCACACTGGTTTCCTCAGTTTGGAATTCTTGGACATCTTCTCCACTGGAACAGGTCACTATAGTTCTGCACTTCTCCAGCAGGGGGCTCCCAGGACAGATTCACACTCTCAGTTCTGATGTCACTTATTGATAACAATTGAGGAGGCAGGTGCTGCAGAGGTTTTAAAGCAAATTAATGAGAATACTTCTAATAATAAAGTAAGTGTAGATCTTGTCATTCTGACCTGTGACGACACAAACACAGGTCTGTGAGCTCTGTGTCCTCCGTGTGATGGTGAAGGTGTGGTCTGTCCCAGGACACAGCCCTGTGATGTCCACAGAGGGGGAGTCTCTGTGGACTCCTGTGCCCCTCTGTTCTGCAGCACTGTACTCGATCACCAGGTCGAGGAGACGGATGTGGCTCCACAGCAAAGGAAACTGCATCAGGACCAACGCAGAGCACTGCTACCTTTGGTTTAGGGACTCCTGAAAATTACAGACATCAGATTATGTAGAGCTGTACTTTATACAGAGGTAAAAGCACAGCACAGAGAAAACACACAACCCAACTCTCACCAGCGGCTCTGGTCCTCAGTGCTCTGGTCCTCAGTGCTCTGGTCCTCAGTGCTCTGGGGTTTCAGTGCTCTGGTCTTCAGTGCTCTGGTCTTCAGTGCTCTGGGTCCTCAGTGCTCTGGGTCCTCAGTGCTCTGGGTCCTCAGTGCTCTGGGTCCTCAGTGCTCTGGGTCCTCAGTGCTCTGGGTCCTCAGTGCTCTGGGTCCTCAGTGCTCTGAGTCCTCAGTGCTCTGGGTCCTCAGTGCTCTGGTCTTCAGTGCTCTGGGTCCTCAGTGCTCTGGGTCCTCAGTGCTCTGGGTCCTCAGTGCTCTGGGTCCTCAGTGATCTGGGTCCTCAGTGCTCTGGGTCCTCAGTGCTCTGAGTCCTCAGTGCTCTGGGTCCTCAGTGCTCTGGTCTTCAGTGCTCTGGGTCCTCAGTGCTCTGGGTCCTCAGTGCTCTGAGTCCTCAGTGCCCTGGGTCTTCAGTGCTCTGGGTCCTCAGGAATATTTCGTTCTATTTACCACTAGTAAATAAAGGCCAGATCTGTGTAGTGTTGACTAGTATTTACCCCTGAGCTGTGGATGTCTGCAGCTCCTCCAGAGTGTTCGAGCTATGAGTTGGTGGAGCATTGGTCTTGGAAATGTTGTATTAAATATAGACTAAAGGCAGATGTGAATTTGATTGACCCGGAATTGAACTCTGTCTCTTTCCCAAGCAAAAAGACCTGGTCTCCCCTTGTTCCTTGGTAGTCCAAAAGTGCAGAAATATGAGTTAATGATAGTTAATCTGGGGGGATTCTGCTAATCCTTTCGTTGTTTGAAGAAGGAGGTGGACCTTGAAAAGCCTCCTGTCTTATCTCAAGGAAGTAATATTTCTATAGAATTAGGGAGGGGTAGTGCATGAATGATTTCTGTTTAGGTCTGGCAGACGGAGGAAAGGCCGGACCCTGGACCGGAAGCTGCCTGATACTACACGCCCCCTTCTTCCTGGACATCTGCTCTTTTTATGCTTAGGCTGGAGGCTTGGAGTCAGTCAGAGCAGGGATAGAGACAGAGAACATGGCAGAGCGCCTGCATGTTCTCTGCACATTTTCACGCCTGGAGGGAAAGTTTTTAGGATGGCTCAGCATAGGGTTAGTTTTAGAGAATTAATGGCTCCAAGGGTTTTGTATCGATATTTAATTGTAAAGAGAATTAAATGTTCTATTTTTAACTCTTGCATTCTTGGCCTTATTTCTGTATCAAATTCTGAACACGTCAGTCAAATCTTTTTTGACGACAGAACCTAATGGTTGTTGGTTCGATTCCCCCACAACTCATGTCATCTGCTCCCATTAAAGTTTGCAATCGTTCTTGAGCAACTGGTGTTATGAGCATTGGGTGGCAGCTCTCTGACAGATATGGACTGATAAAGAGGATGAAAAATTCCCAGATGGATTGAAGAGAGATGTCCTGTTGTGCTTTGGACATATTTGTATAACCGGACCAATAACCAGGCTCTATACTTCTCCACATCCTTATTCTCTGGCTTTTAACATCTCCTTTGCCCATTTCTGGGTCGGGGGGATTGGGAATTAGAGCTGCCTTTCATTGATCCTCCTGCAGGAGTCCACTGTCACAGACAGCCTTGGTGTTTCAATGGGGGCTTCAGGCAGAGTGGGGTTCAGGCCCCGTCCACACGTTGCCGAGTCTCTGCTAAACCGAAGATATTTGTCTTCGTTTGCACCTGTCATCCACATGACAACGCACCATAAACAGATATATTTAAAAAACTCTGGGCAAAGAGCAGATTTTTGAAAACTCTGTTGATGCATTTGCGTGTAGACAGAGATAACCAAAGTTCTGTGTTTTTGCAGGGCAAAATATGCTCAAACAACAACAAATCTGCTTTGACGTCAAACGTTGAAGCATGAATCTTACTGCCGTGAAAACCAGCTCATGCTGCGGCGCGGGAGCGGTGGGTTCAGCGGTGGGTTCAGCGGTGGGTTCAGCGGTGGGTTCAGCGGTGGGTTCAGCGGTGGGTTCAGCGGTGGGTTCAGCGAACATCCTCGCTCCACATCAGAGAGCAGCAAAGTGGTCACAGGGGCCCGCGCTCGAAAACCAACAAAACAAGAGCTAAACCAGGATTAAACCAGGACTAAACCAGGACTCAGAGGACTGTCCTGAATGATATTAGATTATCTGTGGAAGAGTTTTTTTTTTGAAAACGAAGTAATGTGTATACAAATTATTCTATAAACGGAGGAGGGAGAGTATTAGGTTTTAAAAATACCCGTCTACGTGTGGACATGGCCTACAGTAAGTGTCTTGCCTGAGGACACAAGGAAAACTGAGCCACTGTTTTGTGTATCCACAGATAGGAGGCAGACATGTTTGTATTAGTTACTTTTGTTTTATGTAGAAACTTTTATAAAATATGCTATTTCAATATTCAAATGTGGAAAACTTAGAGAATTTACCACTAACTCTAAGATTCTGCTTAACTTTTATGGCTGCACCATTGAGAGTTTACTTGTTGGTTCTGTGTCTGTGTGGTTTGGAAACATCACAGATAAAGAAAAGAGAGCTTTAAACAAGGTGCTCCGCTCTGCAAAGAGGACCGTGGGCTGTGAGGCCCGAGAGAGGCCCGAGAGAGGCGAGCTTCCTGTTCTGGAGGTTCTTTATGAATCCAGACGTTTAAACAAAGCTCTTAAAATTATCAATGATTCTTCTGGCCACCCTGGGAAAGCCCTGTTCCAGCTTCTTCCCTCTGGCAGAAGATGTATTCCAATGTGGTGTTTTTACTGCAAACGGCAAATAAAATGAATCTGAAGTGGATTGGATTTTGATTGATTGCATTCATTCAAGCAAAAACTATACATTTATTAGTAAAATTTACATTTCTTTGTTTTTGGATATACTTTTGTGTATTGTAATGTTGCAGACTGCACTTACGGTGTATACATACACACATGCAAAGATATATACGTACATACACACATTCAAAGATACATACGTACATACTATGAAGGTTATTTTGTGTTTTTATTATCGACACTTTTTTTTGCTTTTGAATTCTATAAACTGTAACAAAAAAGTATTCAGTGTAAATAAATTCAATGTTTTAAAATTCAGTGTCCAAAATATTCAATGTTTTAAAATTCAGTGTCCAAAAATTTGTTGCATTTTTTTTCGCTGCTTGAAATGTCATGCTTTATTTCCGGGTAAATCAAGAACAAAGCAATCGATCAGCCAATCCTCCACAGATGTAGCCAGGGCCAGAACATGACTTTGGCTTTATCTGAATGTCCGCACTATACCGTGCGGGACTATAGTGAGTGAGTAACTGAGTGGACTCATTCTGATGGTGATTCGGACGCTGCACACTATTATCAGGCCGTGCTGTTGTACGTGAGCGTCCCGCTGTAGCGTGGATCACGGAGCGGAGAGAGGAGCGGCCATGACAAGGTAAAGGTAAAAGTTGAATTAACGTTTTAATTAGAACATAACATTTAATTGTATTAACATTGTAGGTGGGAAATAGCCCCTTCTATTGTTATATCAGAGGTCTGTTTGGTGATTAAACAGATTTTCTTTGGACTTTTTCTCCAGCCTTGAGCTCCAATGCTAACACGCTAACCACGGGTGTAGAGCTGCGCTGATGCCCAGAATGGAGCGTCATGCCCAGGGAGTCATTTTGAGAGCTCCCTTATGCTAACAGTCTTAACTGTGGAAGTAATTATGAAAACCCAAACCCAGGCGGCTTTTGTATCATACTTTCTCTGTTATAACAATTGTTTTAAGAGTAATCATTAGTCTTAAAAATGTGATATTTCATGTAAATAATGCATGTGTTTAGTGCGATTGATGGATTTGCTATGGCCCTCGTTTGTGCATCACTTTGTTGTAAAGTAATTTGTATTAAGTACAAACGTGATAATGTGCATTTACTGATGACAGGGGGACATCTGTGAACATGAAGCTGGACACAGAAGACGCGTGGACTTGAACTTACAGACCAGATTTAAGGTCATGAGTACTTACTTTTGCCTCTTGAAATCCAACAGACCTGATCATGTCAGAGTTAATGGCTTAAATGTATTTAAGATTAGAAGTAGTACTTAAATAAAAGCTATGAAACATGTTTCTCACGGATTGTGTGGTTGGATAAAAAAACGCATCCATCACTTTTCATTGCACACAAAGAACTAAATCATAATTATTTTATTTTATTCCAGGTTGTGATGAGTCCACCGTAGAAAAGACAGGCAGAGGCAGACGTCCAGGCCCCTGCTGTTACTGCTGTTGTTACTGCTGTTACTGCTGCTGCTGCTGTTGTTACTGCTGTTACTCAGAATCAGAATCAATCAGAATCAGAATCAGAATCAGAATCATTTTTATTGCCAACGTAAGTAACGGGAGGTCACAGACTTGGAAATTGCTTTGGCTCAGTGCAACAGTCAAAAAGAGATAATAAAAATAAGAATAAAAAACACTTCTAAAGAATAAATTTAAATTTAAAATAGAGTTACAGTTACTATTTACAATATACAAGTGCACATGGTGCACACAATGTAAGGTGACAGCAGTACAGTGAAGTAAAGTGACGTATGATGGGCAGTAAAGTGACTTTATAAAGGGCGGGGGGACAGGTTAAGAAGTGTTCAAGAGTCCAACAGCAGAGGGGAAGAAACTGTTCTTGTGGCGGGAGGTTCTAGTCCTGATGGACCGCAGCCTCCTGCCTGAGGGGAGTGGTTGGAATAGTCCATGTGCAGGGTGAGAGGGGTCGGCTGTGATACGACCAGCCCGGCCTCGAGCTCGGGCGACGTACAGGTCCTGCAGCGATTACTGCTGCTGCTGCTGCTGTTACTGCTGTTACTGCTGTTGTTACTGCTGTTACTGCTGCTGCTGCTGTTGTTACTGCTGTTACTGCTGCTGCTGTTACTGCTGCTGTTACTGCTGCTGCTGCTGCTGTTACTGCTGTTACTGCTGCTGCTGCTGCTGTTACTGCTGTTACTGCTGCTGCTGCTGTTGTTACTGCTGCTGCTGCTGCTGTTACTGCTGTTGTTACTGCTGTTACTGCTGCTGCTGCTGTTGTTACTGCTGTTACTGCTGCTGCTGCTGCTGTTACTGCTGTTGTTACTGCTGTTACTGCTGCTGCTGCTGTTGTTACTGCTGTTACTGCTGCTGCTGCTGCTGTTACTGCTGTTACTGCTGCTGCTGCTGTTGTTACTGCTGCTGCTGCTGCTGTTACTGCTGTTGTTACTGCTGTTACTGCTGCTGCTGCTGTTGTTACTGCTGTTACTGCTGCTGCTGCTGCTGTTACTGCTGTTGTTACTGCTGTTACTGCTGCTGCTGCTGTTGTTA